ATGAATAAATGAAGGAAAAATTAGGTAGAAGAGTATTTGAAAAATTATCTGAGGAGAGATTTCCAAATTTTAGTTTATCCTGAATAAAGAGTCACTTTTTTTCCTTAAAAGAAAAAAAGTTGTCAACAGGCTAGAATTTTGCATCTTTAAACTTTAAGTCTGGAGAAGATCTAAAACCATAAAGATTTCAAATAATTACAGAATTTTACATTTTTTCACTTGTACAATAACACCCAAGAAGTCTGCCTTTTTAAGTGCTGATGAAATCACCTCCAACCCTCTCCATGATATCATACTCTACTTGATGATGGGCAAAGAGAGGAGAAATCCTTTTGTTATATATTATTGTAACTCATGATTTAAAGCTATACTGCCAAATGAATCAACATTGTTAATACACTCAAACAAATAACATGACGAACATGCTCCCTTATAAACTTGATGACATTTTGAAATCATATACGACCTCCTCCACTTCCTTAAATTACCCTACGCCACTATCACAGTAATCACATCAATGCAATCCATGCAAATACAAGACATCATTCTCTCTCCATCTGTCCTTAAAAGCCCCACTCAGCAGTTTGTGCTATAGCACCATGCTGCAGCATCCCTGCACTTGAACTTGGGAATAGGCTTTCCAGGACTGCAGGCAGAGTCCTTACCGCATTCCTTCTGAACCTCATCTTGCCTCTCGGGGGATTTGCTTCTGCCATCTCGCCTAGACACAATTATACTCTTCTTTTCCAATTGTCAATGCAACATTGATGAAATATGAGCTGCTTCTGGGGTAGTATTTAAAAACGGCAGCCAAAAATCTCTATCAAACAAAGCTACCGTAGCTGCTTCCATTACCACCGTGGCAGCGCTGCAAAAAAATCCACTATCCCTGATTAGTCAGCTGACAGATCCTTCCCTGCTGCTCATTGTAATTCAGAGTTGACACATTCCCCCAATTACTTAGCCTGATTGAACCTTGTGGATTAGCTTGTGCTGGACTGCTCAAGAAGATCAGGCATGTCCTAAGAGTGGAGGAAGAAAAAAAAATCAGTCTCTCCTCCTAGGAACAGTCTGATGGGACTGGCTTTCTCCCCTCTACGCAGTTGGATTTTTAAGGTGGAATGCTAAGAATCTCTGTGAAGGTAGTATTAACTGATAGATTTTACTCTTGTCCTACCCTGGTCTATGATTTAAATTACAAAGCTGCATTGTTTAACTTTTCATTAAATTCTACCCTAGATTTAAGTATTGGGAAAGGTCACAGTTTGTGAAATTCTGCCCTGATAGTAATCTAAAAAGAACAGAACATGTAAACTTCTACAATGGATAGGATTCTCACTCAAATTAACCTTTCCCCCAAAGAGCTAGAAGACAGAATTTTTAATTTTCTCACCACAAAGAAATCATAAATGTTTTAGGTGATAGATATGCTAGTTACCCTGAATTGATCATTATACAATGTATATATTAATTAAAACATCATATTGTGCCCCCATTAAAATACAATTATTATGTCAATCAACAATAATTTTTTAAAAATCTCTTCTCATTAATTATAAAATATAACCTAACTTTTTATTCTGGAATCTGTAAATTAAGGTCTTCAAATTGAATTATATTATTATTTCACAGACACTTAAAGTAATATGCCATAGTTACACCTGCCTACATAATTGTAATTTCCACTAAAAATTCTTTAGGAAGGTCAACTTACATTCTTGAAATGAGCTTATATTCAATACTTACCTTTATTTCAAACAGTGCCCAATAGCTACTGATAGATGAGATATAATTAATGTGCTCTTAAGTATCAGAAACTTTTAAAATGGTTGAAAAAATACAAAACACCTATAGCCACACCATTCATGTCTACTCTGTGTACAAAAAGAGAAATGAAAAATTGTGCTCTATTTGTGTACTATGAACTGAAATGCATTCTGATGTCATGTATAACAAATTAGAACAAAAAAAATTTTTAAATAATATAAAAAATAAATATAGTAAGGGAAACTCAAAAACTATTAAAGAATTTCATATGGCTGGTAATAACTGATTCCCAGCAACTCTGGTCTGATAGAAGTGGGCCATATGAAACTTCCAAAAACAGTACCAATGTTGTCAGTTCATGTCACAAGCACCTGTACCCCACCTTAAACCCCCCCCCATCAATTTGGCAGTTATGAGAACAAAAGGACCCTGAGCACTGAGCTCTTTACTGAAAATGGTTCATCCTTCCCCACTGAGAGAGCATTCCTAAGAAAACAAAAAGGAGAATATCACTCTTTAGGAACAAGTGGTACCCCTCTATTGGCCTCAAATGGATAGAATCCACATAATCTGTTTCTTTTATGCAAAATGATACATCTGTTCTAACCAACCTATTTGATTAATATAAGTAAAACTTTACCAAAAGACTGATGTCATGTGCCAAAAAGATATTGAAATTTTAAATTACGTATAGTGTTGGCCAAAAGAAAAAGAAAACCAGGTAGTAAAAAAATATTTTATTGCAACAAGTGCTATACTTAGTATAAAAGAATTGATTATTGGCATAAACCAAAGACTATTCCACAAGCTCAAAGAAAATCCAAAAAGGCCACAGCAAGGAAAATTACTTTTACTTCATTTAGCCCCACTGATAGGACTCAATAATATATTGGAGGGCGGATTTACCTTCTACAAGGTAAAAAAGCCACTGCATTTAGTTGTTGTATATCCATATATCATTTGGAAAATGACACAAAGCAGCAAGTAGAAAGGGAACCAACTGAAATTCATGAAATTTCATTTCTTGCTTTAGTTATTTTTGGTTACTTAGCTATCTGACCTTGGGTTCAACCTTTTCAAAATATATGTAGCAATGTAATTTCATCATCTATGAGATAATTATGGTGATACCTGCCTGTAATACCTGCTAGGAAATAAGGAGAATCAACATTACTTAATAAGTATGAATGCTTTTTGAAAAAGCAAAAATATACATGAAGGTTCTGCTATTTTATTTTAGTAACTTATTTGAAGCTGGTATTCTCTCCACTGCTTATGATCAAACAACTCTTAAAAAAAACTTTCCAAATTAGCCCAAGATGAGGAATAATTCATGCTGGATAGGGAAAGAATAATGATCTCACTCATTTTGCCATGTAAATGGTAGTATTTTATTTTCCCTTTGAGACTAGGTCTCACTACGTTGCCCAAGCTGGTCTGGAAATCCTGGGCTCAAGCAAGATCCTGTCTCAGCCTCCCAAGTGGCTGGGATTATAGGGGCATGCCATGCCACTACATTCTGCTTTGAGTGCTAATATATTTTTATACTAATTGATAAAATAGTATAGCAAAAAGGAGTATTCACTTAGAACTCCAACAACCTATACTTTGGTCTTGTCTTTGCAACTAAATCTACTTCCTCTAGTGGGAGTGGCCTCCTAAATCAGCAAGGAGACAAAATTAGAATTTCAGATGATAGAACTAAGAAGTTCTTGTTTTCTAGGCATAGTAGGGTAACTATAGATAATAATAATGTATATTTCAAAAAGCTAGAAAAAAGGATGTTTTCACCATAAAGTAATGATATACATTTAAAGAGATAATCTATTACAAAGTGCTGAGTTTTACATTATATAATGTATGTATGTATCAAAACATCACATGGTATCCTATAAATATGTAAAATTTTTTACAGTACTGGTGATTAACCCAAGGGTATCCTTACCACTAAGCTACATCCTTTAATTATCTCATAGATGATAAAATTACATTGCTACATATATTTTGGAAAAGTTGAACCCAACATCAGATAGCTACATCCCTTTTTATTTTGAGACAGGGTCTCGCTAAGTTGCTTAAGGCTTCACTAAGTTGCTGAGGCTGGCCTGGAAATTGTGATCCTTCTGCCTCAGTTGTCTTTATCTCACCCCCCCCCCCATTGCTGGGATTATAGGAATGTACCACCACACTATGACAATTTTTATATTTTAATGTATCAGCTAAAAATAAATTTAACTCCCCACTATATCATAAATTGCTGAGTGTCCTTTTTTTTTGCAAAATAAAGTAATGGATGTACACAAAATAGAGTCACACCATTCGTGTCTACTTTGTGTACAACCAGAGAAATGAAAAACTGTGCTCCATTTGTGTACTATGAACTGAAATGCATTCTGATGTCATGTATAAAATTACTACAAATAAATTTTTGAAAAAATATAAAAAATAAACAAAGTAATGGAAACTCAAAAACTGTTAAAGAATTTCAGATGGCTGGTAATAACTGATTCCCAGCAACTCTGGTCTGATAGAAGTGGGCCACATGAAACTTCCAAAAACAGTACCAATCTTGTCAGCTCAGGAGGAGTCTGTGAGTTCCCCCTACTCATATATGAAAGGAAAGTGTCACACAATGTCACTATATCCTAGTGAGCCTAATAATGTAAAAGATCATCCTGGCTGTGGGCAGGATTATATTCCTCATATTGTTTCTTTTTGGAAAACTGTTCATTTACTGGGTATTAGAATACTGGGGACTAGATTCCAATATGGGAGATTTGTTATTTTGTAGGTGACTCATCTCCCTACCTTATCCAAGTCTAGAAAGATGCATACTAAAATGTTATAAAGGGCTTATTTCTGGGTGGCTAGATTTATTCATTATATTTTAAACTTTCTTCATTATACTTTTCTACATGCAATGAGTATACATCATAGCTTTTTTTTAAGTTCCCATAAAAACTTGCCTTGCTCTGAAAGGCATATAGAACCATGTGTCTTTGCTCACTTATAACTTGAACAACCAACTAACTATTCATCCTTTCCCATTAAGATTTGCATTGGGGGAGTTGTTTATTTACCTCTGTCTCCTCTACAAATCTTCTTCCTACATTTCCTCCTCATTATCTCATCTGCTCATTGTTTCTGTCAACATCAAAACAATCTACACCCCCAAAACAGAGAGTATAATGTAAACCAAAAAAGAAGTTACTATAGAATACAAAGGTACTTACAGAGATTTTTTGGAGAGATATCTTAAGAGAGGACCATGTATCCAATCTTCGATCCAAAATAATGGTAAACCGGGAATCAGACCCATTTTGCCTGCAAGGTAAGTGAAAATGATAACTTTGCCTTAGTAATTACCCAAATTTTCTCTATATGCCTTTATTTCTGATTATTTCATTTACATTTGATCTTTGACTAAAAACAGATTTATATTTTGAAATCTATTACAAAATGCTTATATAAGCAGTTTAATTTATGTTCCCATACTCATGATTTAAAATTTCTTCTTCATCACTAATGCCAATCTTTTAAATAGGAAAGTAATAGTGCAATGAAGATAGGTCACTAAAGTGGATTTCTTGGGGGTGGGAAAACCCAAAGATAACTGTTCTTCATCACAACCACATTTAACTTTTCATCAATAGCCAATGATCCATTCATTCAGAAAAATACTATTAAATATATTTTGCTACTTCTAGCTTGTTCCTTGAGAAGACAGTTCAGTGGATTATATAACATTTATTTGCCCTAAAAAGACCACTTTTAAGCTTCAACAGTTAAACTACAAATTTGGTCTTCTAGGATTTGATTTTTGCTCACAAGACTCTTCAACTGTTACATTCTAGATTTATGCTCTCTTATTCTTCAGGGTTAGTAAATGGAATATGTTTCCTTTAAAAAGCTGTCTTCAACGTTTAAAAAAATTTCTAAGGAGACTTTTCAATTTTTCATTGTAAAGCATTCTCATTTCAAATGATTCTAATGTCAATTCATTCCTCCTAGTATCTCCCAATGCCACTATTGAGTCTACTTGAGATGAAGTCTTGTGATCCTTGGAAGAAATGAAGAAGGTCTATCCTCACTCTTAATGTAAATTAAAGTCTTTATGTAATATTATCATTCTTAGTCTTCATGAGAACAAATACTTCTAGACGGCTAATTTTGTTTTCATAGACCCTCAGTATAATGTTTATAGCAATTAGGTAGCTGTCAGTTTCCTCTTTGGTTATATTTCTTTTCTACTCTGAAGGTAAGTTTGTTTATTATTCATAATAATAATAATAATAATAATAATAGCTATATTAACAAGCCATTTTCCTTGTATAACATTTGAATGGGTACTTGATATAAAACATATTGAAAAAAAGAATAAAATGCTATACCTTGCAATAGATGTCAGGTAAGTGAGGACTTTTGCTATTACTTCCTCTGGTATACATCTAAAATTACAGTTTTCTGGAAATGTAATGATCCAAGCATTGTCCTTTCCCCGGCCACCTAAAATAGTAAAACAAAATCAACCAAATTAACAATTTATGTGACAACAATACAAGGAAAAGGATTCTAGATATAAAGGAGGGAAGGGTTTAGAAGACTGAGGTCAACAAAATTTTTTAAGGGTATTAGTATCCACATAAACCAAAATGGCAGCAAGCTCCTCATATTTTAAGTTGAAAAAGTGGCAGAATGGCTTCTAAACAAAAAATCAAAGAAAGAAGAATGAATATAGCCAGAAGAAAATTTCATGAAATATGTGTAATAAATATAGTTAAAGAAATAGCTGATCTCCCAAGTTGGATAATCAAGGGAGCTTAGGGAATAACTGTTTCTATATCAGTGTTAAGAGCCTGAAATCCAAATGAGAGATTGACAGCAACTGGATAACTTAAAAAAAATTGACCTCATAGAATCATGGTAAGCATAAAAAGATGGAAGAAACAAACTAGAGGATGTAAGTGATGGTCTAGTGTATTTATGAAAATAACAACAAAATAAATAATAGCAGCAGTAGTATAGAGATTTTTATTAACACAAAAAAACTCACAAATTCACTGTTAAAATTTAACATGGAGGGCTGGGGTTGTGGCTCAGAGGTAGAGCACTTGCCAAGCATGTGTGAGGCACTGGGTTCGATCCTCAGCACCACATAAAAATAAATAAATAAAATAAAGGTATTGTATACATCTACAACTAAAAATTTAAAACAATTTAATGTATAGCCTGGATGGTGAATCAAAGTTCAAACAGGGCAAGGGGTTAAGATTCGGCCCCTCCAGGCTCCATCTCTTAGGCCCCCCACCATACTGTGAACCAGGAGAATTTCTATGCAGCAGTAGTACCTCCTCCAGCTGTACCTCGACTAGATGGGTACCATGGGGAAGCTCGGGTCCCAGGAGTTGCAGGTGAGACTTCCCTTGGCCCATTTCCATAAGGACCTGGAGCAGAGATAACTGTCATTGAGATTCCTTGTGGAGAATAACTGGATTGGCACTGGGCTTTCATTTTGAGGTAAACTGCCATCTCCATATGTCCCTCTGCCAAGCCCTGTAGCCCCCTATTCAGCCTGGGTGATGAAGTACATTGAGTATGAATGCCATGTAGTGCTGAGATGAGTTTTTACACATGTTTAAGGTCCCAAACTGCAGCTGGCGTAAACACCTACACAGAGAGTGAGTGATCAATAAAAATTAAGTGCTAAATGGAATTTGAACAATTATTTTAGGAAGAAATTTGCAGGGTGATCTTTTAATTTAGCTTGCTAATAGAAAAAATATACACACAATTGTGATTCTTATTGGCTGAATCAAAGTGAATATGTAAAAGTACTTTTAAAAATTCAATGTGTGATAAAATATGATAATGGCAAAGGAGATAAAATGGAGTGATTAAAAATACTCAATCCAAAAAAAGGAAGAAATGGAGGAAAAACGATGAATGGGAAAAATATAAAATAAATAGTAATATGGTAGATTTAAACCCAACCATATGAATAATCACATTACATGAAAATGATCTAGACATTACAATTAAAATGAAAGATCATCAAACTAGATAAAAAATGATCCAACCTAGGGCTGTGTTTGTGGCTCAGTGGTAGAGCACTTGCCTGGCATGTGTGAGGCCCTGGGTTCAACCCTCAGAACCACATAAAAATAAATAAATAAAGTAAAAATCCATTAACAACTAAAAAAAAAATTTAAAAAGATCCAACCATATGCTGCCTACAGTAAATAAACTTTAAACATAAAAGAACAAATGTACTGGGGCTGTGATTGTGGCTCAGTGGTAGAGCACTTGCCTGGTAAGTGTGAGGCACTGGGTTCAGGTCTCAGCACCATATTTAAATAAATGAATAAAATAAAGGTCTGTCAACAACTATTTAAAAAAAAAAGAACAAATGTACTAAAAGCAAAAGGATAGAAAAAGATGCACCAGGCTAATAGTAGTCAAAAAGAATCTAATATTATACAAAGTAGATTTAAGAGCCAAGAATATTACTAGCTAATAAGAAGTTCATTTGGTAATGATAATGTGATTAATTCATTAAGGGAACATAATCCAAAATACTTATGCACCTTATAACAGAGCTTTCAAAATATATGAAGCAAAAACTGATAAAGTGGCAAGAAGAAATAGATAAATCTACAATTTAGTCAGAAATTTCAGCCGAGTACTGTGGTGCATGCCTATAATCCCAGGTGGTTGGTAGGCTAAAACAGGAGGATTGCAAGTTCAAAGCCAACCTCAGCATTAGCAAGGCCATAAGCAACTTTGTGAGACCCTGTCTCAAAATAAAAAAAAATAGAAAAAAGGGCTGGATCCGGGCACAGTGGCACATGCCTATAATCCCAGTGCTAAGGCAGGAGGATCATGAGTTCAAAGCCAGCCTCTGCAATTTAGTGAGGCCCTAAGCAACTCAGTGAGATGCTGTCTCTAAAGAAAATACAAAATAGGGATGGGGATGTGGCTCAGTGATCAAGTGCCCCTGGGTTTAATCCCCGTACCAAAAAAGAAGGGGTTAGTGGAGCTGGGGATATGGCTAAGTGGTTAACCACCCATCTCTCAATAACTAATAGAACATGTAGCAAAACATTTGCAAGGATACTGTATAAATGAACAAACTCTCAACCGACATGACCTAAATGAACTCTATGGAACCCTCCACCAAATGAAAACAAGATACACACTTTTCTCTAGTGCACATGGGAAAAAAAATCAAATTGATTATTTATCTTAATCTTTACTAAGGGAAACTTGAGGGATAGTTCTCAAATTATCTTTTGAATTGAACAAATCAAGATTATTAAATCAAAAAAGCATTAATCTTTGCTATATGGTATCCTAGAATTAAAGAGCAGAATGGAAATAATCAGTAAGAATAATGGAATCCACCTAAGAGTTTTCAAAGAACTCAAAAGAGAAACTGTACAACCCTGAGCCAAAAGGTTTAGCAAATTATTAAACAAAGGGCTTCTATAGGTAAGGCATGATATAGAACAAAGTATATAAATAATATATAATTGAATATATATCCTATATGTAGAAAATATAACTACAAACTTGCTAAGAAAGCTGACGAGCACTCTAGTTTAGGACAGAACAATTTAATACTAATGCAAACTACACCCATCAAAGGAAAGGATATTTGGCTCCTATAGGGGTAAAATATCACTGATTAATCTATATACCACTCAGCACCTGTACTGTACTAGATAGTAAATTTGTGAGAAAACAACAAAAGATATTTATACTCTAATTGGGAAGTTTTAATTATTTTTCTCTCTGGGAACATTTTCCTCAAAAGAAACCATAAACATTTTTAAAATAAATACAAAAAGCAGATAAGGGGGCTGGGGCCTGGGTAACGCGCTTGCCTAGCATGCAAGAGGCACTGGGTTCGATCCTCAGCACCACATATAAAGAAAATAAAGGCATTCTGTCCATCTACAACTACAATTAAAAAAAAAGCAGATAAGGAATGAAAAGTATGGAGAAGGGTAGGGAGCAGCAAACTCTGAGGAAGATTGTAATTCAGAATCCTTTAGAAAATACTGAGGGGCAGGCAGTTGTAGCTCTGTGACAGAGCACTTGGCTAGCATTCATGAGGCTCTGGGTTCCATCCCCAGCTCAAAAAAAAAAAATCACTGATAAACTTTTGTTTATTTCTTGCAGTGCTAGGGGTCAAACCCAAGGCCTCACATGCTAGCTGAATATTCTACCACTGAGTTACAACTCCAGACTGGAAAACACTGATAATCTTAAGTAAAATCTCTAAATCTTAAAAGTAAACCTAACATACCACTAAATTTACTAAGACAGAACAGTAATCCCCCTTTATCCATGGGGAATGCATTCTAAAACCCTGGGGGTCTAAAACCACAGGGAGTACCAATCCTACTAAAAATGTTTTTTTTCCTATATGCCCTGCAGGGTTGCTCATAGTCCCCAAATTAATCTGTCCTTCCATGTTTTATGCCCTGGTATCACTTTTAGCATCATTATTATTTTTTGTTTTGGCGGGGGTTTGCAGTGCTGGATATGGAACCAAAGGCTTCTACATGCCAAGCAAGCACTCTATCACTGAACTACATCCCAGCCCTAGTATCAGTATTCTTGTGCTTTGGGACTATTCTTAAGAAAAATAAGGGTTACTTAATATAAGCCCTGTAAAACCATGATAGCTAATCTGCCTACAAACATGGTTACTAATTGACTAACAAGCTAGTTACACAGCGTGGAAATACTAGACAAAAGGATGATTCACATCCCAAGTGGGACAGAGTGGGACAGTATGAGATTTCAGAATGGTGTACCATTTAAAACTTAGGAATTGCTTATTTCTAGAATTTTTCATTTAATATTTTTAGACCATAGTTGATCACAGGTAACTGAAACTACAAAAAGTAAAATCACAGATAAGGAAGTGCTGTTATATACTGTGTAAAATAAAATATAAAACCACATTAAATAACTCACCCCAAATTCACAATTACAATTAATTATGATCATCAAAAACCAGAAGCCAGACTAAAGTGTCCGATTAGTATTACCTACAAAGTAAATGCTTATTTATTAAAATGAGCATGTAGGAGAAATAAATAAGATAGCTTCTTGTACTATCAATACCTAGAAAATACCATTTTCATAAAAGCAATGCATATTCTGGTAACTTTTTCTTTATCTGTTTAATATAATAAATAAAATGTAGGCCAGGCATGGTGGTACGCACCTATAATCCCAGTGACTTGGGAGGGAGGCTGAGGCAGGAAGATTGCAAGTTCAAGACTAGCCTCCACAAATTCAAGATTAGCCTCAGCAACTTAGCACAACTCTGTCTCAAAATAAAAATTAAAAAGTGCAGGGGATATGCCTCAGAGGTAAACTGCCCCTGGGTTCAATCCCTAATAGCTAAATAAATAAATAAAATGTATAATGGTATCATTCGAATTACTATAATATCTAAAAAATAATGTGCTTATTTTTAAGCAAAATTTTCTCTAGAATATGACCAGAAGCAAAACGGGCAGAGTGGTTTACCATAATTATATCTCTAAAAATATATAATGCTACTTAGAAGCATTAGAAACAATAGTGAAGGCAGAAGCAATCCATGTATCCATCAATATGAATGAATAAACAAAGTATGGTATATATATACAATGAAATGTAATTCAGCCTTAAAAAAGAAAGAAATTCTGCCAGACATCATAGCACATGTATGAAATCCCAATGACTTGGGAAGCTGAGGCAGGAGAATCTCAAGTTTGAGGCCAGACTCAGCAAATTAACAAGACCTTAAGCAACTCAGTGAGACCCTGTCTCTAAATAAAATACAAAATAGGGATGGGGATGTGGCTCAGTGGTCAAGTGCCCCTGAGTTCAATCCCCAGTATAAAAAAGGTAGGAGTGTTTAAGATGGCAAATTTTATGTTATATGTACTTCACTGCAATATTTAAAAATTATAGAAAAATGCATATACCTATTTGAGAAAAGTAAATTTCATCATATGTAAATGAAGCCTAAAAATAAACTTAATGCTTGCTGCTTAATTAGGATCCCCTGTCAACATATGCAATAAACCTTTGAGTAATAGGAGCAACAGTGAAGGAGAAAAACCTCAAAGAAGCTACCTCAGCCGCCACTCTCTCACTCACCCTGTGCCTACCTACAAGATATATTCCCCGTCATGGATGTCTGAAGCCTTGTCTGAAAACCAAAAGTATAAGAGTAGTTAAGGTTGGTTCTAATCATACATTTAAACATCTTTAAAACCTCTGATTAGTCTCTAAATGTCCATTTGGTTAGCAACTGGTGTACAATATATTCATATATGTTAAAATAATGCTTTTCAAACATACAGAGACACACACACACACACACACACACACAGAGAGAGAGAGAGAGAGAGAGAGAGAGAGAGAGAGAGAATTATAAGTGCCAAACTAACTCTGCTGATCATTTCATATATTTGTCTACACTAAATACATGAGAAAGTTTGCTTACCAGACAGGAAGGCGATGTCTTGCATTAAGAAATGACTGATGTCCTTTACACGGAGGAGCAGCTCTGTTTCTATAACAAATAAGAAATAAGAGGAAATAACATCCATGCTAAAATACAGGGGAAAACATATACATGATTTCTCAATGTGGCCAAAACAACCCTGGAGCTCCAGCAGATCTCCATCCACAGACACACTGCTAATCTTCTCTTTCCTCCTCTCAGCTATAAGGCACGGAAATTATGCTCTTAAAAATATCACCAGGCACGTAGGACGCGTGACCTACTTCTCAATCTACGTCCGGGACATAAACTGCTCTCACTCACCAGAAAGCCAAGGGCAAAGATGCAAACTCCAGGACATCCGGAATTATTTCAAGGATGGATAGTCACGTTGAGATATTGTAGCACATTGTCTTCTTCTGATAGTGCCTTTCATTCCACAAAGCTTTATTATTAACAACAAAGCACCTTTAAGATCCTCAAAATAACCCTGATGTAGATATTTTTATGCATCTTATAAGTCAGGAAGGTGTTTCAGAGAGTACAATGAGGCAACTTACCTTGTGGTCTTCTGAGTCACAAAGGCCTGGATTCAAATCCAGCTTGTTGCATTTACTAGCTATATAACCCTAGGCAAGTTAAAGCCCCCTCTAAGTCTCAATTTCCTCATCTATAAATCAGGAATAATTACACTACCTCATAAGGTACTCTGCCAAGGAAATGTGAAATATCAGGCATAAGAGTAGGTGTTTGATATACAATAGCAGGTTAACTCATTTTTTATCATTATAAATGAAACTATGCCTGTGCATTATTCAATATATTTTAGTTGTCCCAGATCTTAAGTGCTAACTTGTCATGTTCAAATCTACGAAACTCTACAGGAGCCAGAAATCAAAGTCCATTATCTGCTTCTGGTCCATGAATAAGGATAACATTTTAAAAGAAAACAGGTCATTGAACCAGGCTATTTTGGATTGCTGAGTTTAGTGCCTGCAGTTCCATGTCTCTTACTGAAGCCATATTTTTTCACCTGCTCTCTGACAAAAAGTGTCTTCAAAGTCCTAGACTCTGATGGTGTGAGACTGATGACATACTACCCTTGTAGTGTTCCTCAAATCATACCATTTGGATGTGGTTTATCAAGGTCAATCCTTCCCAAGGGAATTAAATAAACAGATTCTTGATGACACATGAGACAGTAGAATAGGGTCTCTGTTACAGAATGACCACCCCACCCCTTTTGAAACATAAATTAATTAATTGACAGGAAGCTACAAGCCATTACAAACCTGCAATTGGTCAGAACATACAATCCATTCTTAAAAATGTCTTGTAATATTAGATTCTTGTCATGTCCTAAGCCAAAGCATACATACTGACATATGCAATTATTCTATCAATGTTGCATGTTTCCTCAGGTAAAAGAATGTTTCTAGCAGCCACAAATATGTGTCACATATTGATAGTTTTAGGCATGGAGACATGGAGGAAGGATAGTGGAAAAAGGGCTCGAATTCTCCCTGTCCTCATAAGCCTATAAAACTGACAACAGTCTAAGGTTTAAATGAAAGATCATTTGACATAAAAATTTGCCTATATAATAAGAGATCCAAATTTCTCCCCTGATTTATTAGTAGAAATACCTATAAAGAGCAATTGATGCCAGGTGCCTGAGGCAGGAAGATCACAAGATCAAGACCAGCCTCAGCAACTAAGACAGGCCCTGCCTCAGAAAAACAAAAACAAAAACACCACAACTAGGGGATATAGCTCAGTGTTAACATGACCCTAGATTCAATCCCCAGTACCAAAAATAAAAAGTAATATATGAATATATATGAATTTTATGTCAGATGACAGATATGGAAGTACTAATATGTGCAAGTCAAGTCCTCCCATATCATTAGACTCTTGCATAACTATAGAAACTATATCTATTTACTCTACAATTCAGACATTCATGCAATAAGAGAGGCCTCAGGGCATAAAATAAAAGGCTGTGGGCTAGGAGTAGGAAGACCAGGACCTTGTGTTAGCTCAGCAATTTTGTTGCTCTATAATCTTAAGTAAGTCACTCCCCGCCACTCCCCTTATTATACCCATTCTATGAGATCCAACATGTGAAATCCACAGATATATAAAAACATAATGGTGTTTTCTATATCTAAAATATCTCCCAGAATTGTGCCAACAAAATAACATTTCTAGTCAGGCACAGTGGCACATATCTGTAATCCCATCAGCTCATGAGGCTGAAGCAGGAGGATTGCAAGTTCAAAGACAGCCTCAGCAATTTAGAGAGGCCCTAGGCAACTCAAGGAGACCCTGTATCTAAATAAAACATTTTTAAAAAGGGCTGAGGATGTGGCTGAGTGATTGAACGTTGCTGGTTTCAAAAATAAATAAATAACACATTTCCATACTAATGAAAAAGGATGAAATCATGATTAAAAGAGATGTTACTGGGCTGGGGTTTGTAGCTCCATGGTAGAGCATTTACCTAGCATGTGTGAGGCACTGGGTTCTATTCTCAGCACCACATAAAAAATAAATTAGGGCTGCAGATGTGGCTCAAGCAGTAGTGCGCTTGCCTGACATGTGCGAGGTGCTGGGTTTGATCCTCAACACCACATAAAAATAAAATAAAGATATTGTGTCCATGGGCTGGGGATATGGCTCAAGCGGTAGCGCGCTCACCTGGCATGCATGTGGCCCGGGTTTGATTCTCAGCACCACATACAAACAAACATGTTGTGTCTGCTGAAAACTAAAAAATAAATATTAAAATTCTCTCTCTCTCTTTAAAAAAAAATTTAAAAAATATATTGTGTCCACCTAAAACTAAAAAAATAAATATTATAAAAAAAAAATAAAATAAATTAATAGGACTAGTGTTGTAGCTCAGTGGCAGAAGCTTGCCTAGCATGTGCAAAGCATTGGGTTGGATCCTCAGCACCACATAAAAATAAACAAATAAAATAAAGGAATTCTGTCCATCTACAATTACAAAAAAAATTTAAAGAAATTAATTAATTAATTAATAAAAATAAAGTCCATCAACAACTAAAATATGTGTGTAAAGAAATAAGTACTTTAAGAAATGATCAGGGGGCTGGGGATGTGGCTCAAGAGGTAGCGCACTCACCTGGCATGCACAGGGCGCTGGGTTCAATCCTCAGCACCACATAAAAATAAAGATACTGTGTCCACCGAAAACTAAAAAAAAAAAAATAATATTTTTAAAAATTCTCTCTCTCTCTTTAAAAAAAAGAAATGATCAGGTTCTGGGTTGAAAACACTGAACAGAGAGAAAATAACACAGGAGATATGGGGTCATCGCTGAGCAGTCACAGAGGTGACAGTGTTGCTGAAAATAAAGAGAAGTAACGAGTACTGGATTCTGAGAAAGTTGTGACACTGAATTCTACCCTGCTTTGTATCTGGCCCTCTTGCATTTCCATGCGATTTCCTCCTGAAATGCAAAACTGAGAACAAATATGATTTATAACGTTTCTCTTGCTGACCCTTTAAACTCTTTTACTCCAGAGCATGAGAAATAAAAGGCCTAGATCACCAAAGCTGGATTAAACCACATTACAGCATGTTCCTTGCTGACCAGATGCACGTTTCATAAGAAGTTTGTCAAGCTGCCCCATGTTGAAAGTTCCATTACAAAAAAAAAAAAAAAAAAAAGAGTGTGTTTCTCCTTACTTTGCTAAGATGAAATACTGCTGGTTGGGAAGGCAAAAAAAAAAAGGGTGTAACTCAATAAATAATCTTATAAATACCCTTTAATTAAAACATTTTAGTGGAGCAGATCATCATTTAAGAGCTCTGCTGAATAAGAGGTGGGACCTAGAGGGAGCTCCTTAGGTCACTGGGGAAGCTTCCCACTGAAGGGATTAAGGTAATCCTTATGGGACTCCTGAAGCTCTGGCTTCCTGTTTAGCAATACCATCTCTTCCTTCCACAGCCACGCTCCTGTTGTGATAGAAACAATCATAAGATCCCCATCCAGAGCCAAAGCATAACCTTGAATCTGTAGAACTATGAGCTTAAAAAACTCTTTATGCTATCAAGTTTTTTTAAAAAGCTCTGCAGAAGAACCTCATGCTTGTACAATCAAACACAATCAAGTACAAACTGAGAACAAAAGATAAGAAAAGCACTTGCCGAATCATTTGTTCTACATGTATGATAAGAAAGCAAGAGTCAGGCTCATATTGTCTTCACCATAAACCGCTACTTGTTTCTTTTCTAATACAAAAGGTAGTTGTGTAAATGAGGATATAAGCTCAGTACTCAAATAAGAATTTTTAAAGTCATACAAAGTATGGAAATTAATATATCAGGAATGTTTCACAGAGAGAAAGAAGGGATACCCATCCAATCAGTTGCTCCATTTTGCTTGTGTCACTTGCAGATATGCAGAACATGTGTCATAATACTCCAGAGTGTACTGAAAATTTCATAAAGATTTATTTTGTATTCACTCAATTTTAAAAAATATTTTTTAGTTGTAGATGGACAATACCTTTATTTTATTTATTTTTATATGGTGCACTGAGGCTCAAACACAATGCCTCACATGTGTGAGGCAAGCACTCTACCACTGGGCCACAACCATAGCCCTCATTCAATTTTGTTTAAAAACAAGTATTTACTGAGCATCTAATATGTACCAAATATTGTTCTAAACTATTCCTGGATAGATGTTCTGGGCAAAAGTAAAGATTTATAATCAAATAAGTTTATGAAATATTTGAAGATTAAAGATGCTTTGATATGACACATTATGACTTTGGGTATAGGCTCTGTATGTGGTATTTTCCAAATCTATTTGACCAATTATTCTTTTGATTGATTGGTTGGTTTGAGGGTTGGTTGGTTGGCTGGCTAGTTGGTTTTTCCACTCAAAGAAAGACAAACAGGGGGTTGGAGCTGTGGCTCAGTAGTAGAGCACTTGCCTGGCATGCATGAGCCCCTGGGTTCGATCTTCAGCACTGCATATAAATTTAAAAAAAAAAACTGAATAAAAGATTCATTTATGACTAAAAAATTTTTTT